AATTAATCAGTGGAACAGCTTGCCTCCAGAAGTTGTGAATGCCCCAACACTGGAAGACTTTAAGAAGATGTTGGATAGCCATTTGTCTGAAATGGCATAGGGTTTGCGTGGCCTGATTTCCAGCATGCCGCGGCCCAGTGCCAGACCACAAACCAGGGGTTAGGGACCCCTGCTTTAAAGCTCTTATTCTGGAATAATATAAAGTCCAGATTTTTATGATCCTGTACGTTTTTGCTCTTGACATCAACGGATTACATATTTTGGTTTCAAAGCAGCAGCTTTTCAGATGCCAATAGGTGTTAATCTCTCCAATGACCAAATGACCTCAGCCATGTTTTATTCCCGCCGTGTACCTGTTTTGCTAATATTTTCTCTTTTATCTCTAGCTCTGTTTGTACCTGCTTTTCCAGCACAGCGGCATTTTCCACAATAGTTGCTATAGTAATTTCCTTCTGATGAAGCTCCTCTGTCAAGCTAGAGTTTTCCATCCTCAGTCTCTCCACCTCGGAGCGATGGGCTTGCGCTTCCCGAGAAAGCTGGACGCTTATCTGCAGCCAACGTGACCCAAAAAGGAACAATGAGAGTTGGCTTTTCATAGGGTATCATTTGTCACCCGCTAGTGACTTTTGGAGCCGTCTATTCTTAAAACATCAACCGTACAGAGGAAGCGCACAGGAATTTAAAATGACTTGATTCAGAACAGCCAAGTTTTCCTACTCCTTTGAGCATGTTTATGGGTTTTTCTATGTCGCTCCCAAAGTCCACCCCACGGTAAAGAGATATTGAGCATAAAACATGATCTAGAAGGAATTATCCCTTTCTCCCAATAGTCCCAAAGGTGCTTTTTTAGGAGACAACTGGATTTTCTTGGTTCCCCCCCCCCTTTTGAAGACTTTTCCCTTCTCATCCAAAGAAGCGTCTTCACTTCTGATTGGATGGTGGGGAATGGAAGGATTTATATTCCTTGCAGGCAGCTGGTCATGGGCATCCTTTTTAGAGGGTCGTTGAAGCACTTGGAGGTTTATCTGTGTCCTCAGGGTCACTTGAGTGGTACAAATGGTTCCTTTAGTCTGTGGTTTTTCTTCCCCTGGAAATCCACTCCTACTTCCACACCATTCAAAGGCTGTTCATCCCCAATTGTACAGCTAAAAGTCTGTAGAGATTCACAATCATCCAGGTCATGGTTGTCCCAAAGGGGCTTGGGATCTTTGCCTCCTGAAAAAGCACCTTTGGGACAACCATGACCTGGATGGCTGTGAATCTCTACAGACTTTTTGCCACCAACAGATTCAGGGTTCCGACCAGAGATAGGTTCCTATCGGTTCAGACTGGTTTGGCCCAACCGGTAATGGTTTGGTGGTCTGGGTCGCTGGAACTGGCAGCGACCCAGGCATGCCACACCCCTGAACCAGTTTCTGAGCCCGCAAACCGGAGCCCAGAACAATAAAATCTGTCACTACCTCCATTTCTTCCCCATTTACCGTATTTTTAGGAGTATGAGACACACCTTTCCCCCCCCTAAAAGAGTGTAAAAATTTCTGCGTCTTATACACTGAATGTAGCCCCACCCACCCACCAGCCCCAACCCTTTGGCCTCTCCCTCCCAGCAATTTACCTCTTTGCAGCAAATGGGGGCTTGCGGAGGCTTCAATAAGCTATTATAGCAATCCCTGCAGCCTGTAACAGCTGATGATCGGGAGAAATTGAAAGTGAAACTAGCTGTTTGCTCTACATGGCAAATTGCTGGGAGGCAGGTTTTTTTTTCTTGTGCTAATCAGGCTGTTTGCTGCAAGGAGGTACATCAACAACTATAAATGCTATATAAAGTTATACCGTGTATGGGCTCTGGGAAGTCGGGGGGAGGGAAGGGAGATGGGGTTCTAGGG